TTCTTGATGACCTATGACCACACATGCAAACACTGTTTACAGTACTGCTACTACATGTTTGGATCCTCCAACATGGATTCCTGTAAATTTTGTATTTGTATGATTTGTGTTTAAAAAACAAACACACTCAAAATAATACTGTGTTTTTTTTAGTATATCTGCTGTCTTATTATTGGGTAATTCCTGATAAAAGAGGACTTTTGCTTTCATTAGACATTGTCAGGGAGGAAAACCTTCTTCTCTACCAGTTTAGGTTATGTTCTTGAGAGGTATTTTGCCATTAAACTGGCAAAAGACAGATTAGCAAAAGAGAAAAACAGTTTTAATTATGTATGTATACATGGGCGTTGACAAAGAAATGTGATTCAAGGAGGCAGTCAGAAATTGGGGCTTATTTGTCATCTTAATAGAGTTCAGGGGAGGTCAGAGGGCATGTCTGGAAAAAACAAATGACTTTAAGGGAAGACCAATGGACCTTGGGAGAATAAATGATAGATATAACAGTTTTATGCCAGCATCTGTTTCTCTATCCAGGTGCTACCTTGTGCTGACTTCTTTGCGTCAATGCTAAGACTTGCTCCTCTGTGGTTGTGAAACTCACAGAGAAGGGCTTTATAACAATGGAATTATTTGCAGGAGGCTTTGCTTTTAAAAAGACAGGGTTTAGAAAAAGCCTCTTTCTGCAGCTATTGATTCTCAAATGTCTTCAACTCAAAATAGTCCTTTATGCACTGTGGCATATTCTGGACCCTTCAACAGCAATAAGAAAGCGCATTCTTAGCTTGGAATTTTATGTCTAATCATTGAAAGAGCTTTCTACAGACTAGTTTCTGACTCCATAGATTTAAGCCTTGATTCTGCTCTATCACACACATATGCCCGGGAACCTATCACGTCACAACCTCTGACGCTGCACCTTTGCACCACCATACTGATGAGCTGGCAAAGTGGATGTTGGGAAAATTCTTGGAAGCCGTTCTACACTATGATGACTAGCAACAACTTAACTGTGAGAGAAGGGGAGTGTGAATCCATAAAAATACATTTTAACACATCCAAATTAAATGTATCCCCATGTCAACTTTCCCTTAGCTAGAGCCTCAAAATGCCTGTGGTCTCTCTCACACAACTTAAACAAGTAGTGTGGCAAAGAGAAAACTGGAATGAGATAAAGACATGCTCTTAACCTACCGTGGTTAAAATTCTTACTCTTGCAGATATCAAAATCATAACTGTGCAAACACTCCCCCACTGTACCACCACTTCGAGGTCTTGGAAGAGGCTGGTACAAGTGAGACGCTGAAAGCTCAGGCCTCCTTAGTATCAGAGTAAGTCTGCTCAGGAGGGTAATTCTGGAATTGGGAACCAATGCCAGGATGCCTACAGAGAAGAACTTTCCAGTGGGTAAAGGAAATTTTCATTTATAGACCTTTAGAAAATACCTTATAGGTGAAAATAAAATAGAAACAAGGGCATGGCTTTGGTTTCAGTGATACCTTTTGAAGTTCAGCATGTTTTGCTCTTAACCTCTTATATGTTAAATAAATTTGTTTTATTTAAAAAATATGCACAATGCTTCTTATCTGTTAGAAGAAAAATAGAAGCTTTATATTAGATATCACTGAAACAGCAGGGGTAGAGACTATTTCTTCCCTCCAAATAGGCAGACATGATCTAACATCTGGAAAGAGACAAAGAATCACCAAGGAACAGAAAGATCTAGTAAACCTTTCAGTACTGAACTTAGGTATATATTGTTGAATAACATATACTGTTACTAATCAGTGCTGTTAGTTTAATAACATATTAAATCACCATTTTATACCTAAGTTAGTCAAATTCCACTCTTGTATTTACATCTTTGCAATGGGTTTTTTATCCAATCATTTGCAGACAATATTTAGAATCAGTTACACAGCCAAATCAAGAAATAAAAAGAACAGTGAAAAAAAACACACACACATACAAATAATCATTTTTATCTTTCTGTCTCACTGTGAGTTAACAATACTTTATGAAGAGTCCTGTTCAGTGTTAAACTCTATACCAGTCACTAGAAAAAAATATTAACTAAAGTAAGTTTGATAGTGAAAAATCATCACATACAAATGTGTGTAGCTTTATGAAGAACTTGTCTTGTCAATGGAGTAGCATTTCTCTCTGTTACCGAATAGCACACCTGCTGTTTTATAGGGATGTATTCCTGAATCCATATTATCTACTTTGACATGCTTCTTAATGCAGCTTTACTTGGATAATTTATTTTAAAAGCTCTGAAATGGACATCAAAAATGTACTACCACTTTCCGCCATCAATGTCAGTCTGAAGTTTCCTGAGATCTCCAAGTATTAGTCCTAAGTCAGATTCATAACCAGCTTGACTTATACAGAGTTGAACAATGACTACATATGTATCAGCCACCCTTATTTCCCAGGGAAGTGAAATTCCCCTTCAACGTACGGTTACCCAGTTCTAGTTAATGGCCTCATCTAGCCACAAGGGGGCCAAGAGGTACAATTCTGCCTTCGGCCCAGAGGCCACAGTTAGAAATACTTGGGGCAAGTTCTCAGTGACTGCCCTTTAAGTATCAGCATCTGTCGCTAGAAAATTCATTGCTGCTGGAGTAGCCAAATTTCTTATATTTTTCACCGTAGAAACATCCCACATCATGTATTTCCTAATTACAGTCAATCAAATTTGTTCGAATAAAGTTTTGTACCACCTGTTATTCAGAAGGACCATGAGAAGTGACCTAGATAGGTCAACATAGCCAGAGGCTAAAACTTATAAAGCTAATTTGTAATTTTCAGCCATTCTTGTTATAAGCAAGGTCATTTATTTGGGTATTCAATTTGTACAAGCAATTATAACGGTATTTCTCCCCCAAATCCTTAACATATTATCTAGCTTAGAGGTCATTATTCACAGCAGTATTTGATAGATTCTGCCATGATAGTAAAAATATGCAAATCTCCCAAGTTTGTACTGTAAAAGGCATTGGTAGATCTGATTTTACCATCAAAAGTGGAAGGAGATAGCTTCAGATTGCCCAAAATAATAGGATGTATTACTTTTAACCTATCAAGGGCCTTTTTCCCAGAACTAATTCAGATTTTATAAAATACTGTGTTCCCCCAACTTAAATTTTTGAAACTGTATGAAAACTAACATAAAGTTGAAAATAATTCGTAAATTAATGATCTTGTAAATAAAAGACAAATGGCAGTTATACTAACTGACTGGTTCTTTGTATGTGTGTCATAACTTGTAAATCTCTGCTATATTGCATATATTTTGGCATTTAAAACTTTAGAAAATGAAAAAAAAACCAATAACGGTCAATATGTGCTAAACTTAAAAGTGAAAATCGTTTATTCTGTGTTATTTTAAAACCTAAAACACTCTGTTGAATCTGAAAACCAGACAGCATGTGAGTTAATAAACACTTAAAATATATTTTTGAAAGTTTCTTCTATTTTGTAATAGGGGTTTTCATACTGGCGTTGTGGAAATGTTTATAGTTATCCACTAGGTAGTATGAATCAACTTAGCTTAGTTTCTGTGTGCTTCTTTTATTGATACATTGTAAAATATAGCTTTGCATATGATTTCTTGATTTAAACAGCACAACTTATTCTGTCTTGGCTAGAGACCAATTAAATAACCACTGATGCAAGCAGTTATTACCTGCTTAAAAGGAAATCTGTGGTTTCCTTATTTAAACTGCTGAGTTTTAATGTCTATCAAAAAGGCTGTTATTGCAATGAATAATTTAGTCATTTCAGTCTACTAAACATTTTAATACTACAAGCATGGATTTCAGGCTGAAAAATATGTCTAAATTTTCTCAGTCTCAAATATCAGAATTATACTTGGAATAGTTACCCATAGATATGTTTACTCTTTCAAGTAATATATGTTTAAAGGACAACGGTTTGTAGCAATTATTTAGAAAAGGAAGACTGGCATATCTAATTTAGCAAAAGCGATTAGAGAGATGGTTAATCATAAAGGCTTAGAAAACACGTCTACAGATAGAAGACCCTTTTAAAAAAGATGAAAGGTCAATGGATTGAGAGATATCCGAGTGTCATTTCCTCTGTTTGTCCCTTGGTGGAGTTCTTGAGTTACTTTCTCCCTTTCTGTCGAACTGCTTTATATTTCTTTACAGAACTGGCTATCATGTTTACTGAATTTAACCTTTTTCTCGTGTTACTGTGAATACAGCGTCTATTATAAATGAAAGTCCCCCCGAGATCATATCTCCAGCACCTACTTTGTATTCTTAACCATAAACTTTTGTTGTAGTTACTTCTCTTACTGTCTTTACTCGAGGCTTGAAATGCACCAGGGACCCTGAATGCTATTTTTCTGTTCAGCCACTGAAATTTCTTAACGGCAAAACAGGTTTAAGCAAGCGAGGCGAGTAGGTAAATTTTAAACAAAAAACAAAACAAAACAAAACCTACCGAGTATTTCAAGTTTAGGATAAGATATTTGGCACAGAAAATGAATTGTTAGTCAAGGTTTTATTAAACGCATATTAGAACGGGATGGTATTTGTATTTTAATCAATTTCAGTTTTTACATCTTGGTTGCAAAGGGACATTTCCTTTTATTGCTCTTTTTTAAAAAGCCACTAAAGAAAAAACAGCAATCTCCATTTCAACATTCCCTCAAACATTTTGTTTCCTACATGCGGTGACGTCCGATGACTCTGAGCAATGCAAGCTTTAGGACACTGATCTCATTTTCTCTCTCCAGTTGGCCGCCAACGCAGCAGCACCAGCAGCGGCGGCAGCAACTGGCTCTTCGATTTATTGCAGCCGGTTACACTTTCGATCCCATTTCCTTCTGAACCTTTTCCTCTTAGGTTGAGAAGATAAATGCAGCCTCGGGTCTGAGAAGCCGGGCGGGGTTGGTGGGTGAGAGCGAAGCCGGATATCACATTCCCTCGGTGAGGTCTGGTACCCGGGGGGATTAAGTCTCGCGGTTCCATTTAATGAAATTGCTGAGCACTTGTGACACTGGCTCTAAGACTGCGGAAATGGGGCGGGGGTGGGGGAAACTGCTTCTCTCTTCCATTCATCCTCTGCGCAGGCGAGAGGAGAGTGTCAGCCCCTAGACAGGGGGCGGAAGAGGACAGGGGGAGGAAGAGGACTGGGAGCTCCAGCCGCCGCCAGGGCGCCCCGAGGGCTCCTCTCACCTCCCCTGTACCCCTACCCCGCCCATTCCGTTTGCTTGCCCAGAACAGCGCTGTTGGGCGAAGCCGCCGCCACTTCTTTGCTCCTCTGGCAGAAAGGTCGGAGCCCGGGACTGATGGGGGCGGGAGCACAGCCAGCAGGCTTCCTGGCCCCCGCAGTCTGTCCTCGCTGCTCTCCATGCAACACACGTCGGACCCATTTCCCACGCCGGCTGGGCTCCGCGGCGAAGTTGGTAGGAATGAGAGTGAGGAGGGCGGGCTGGAGACTTCCTCCCGCTCGCCAAGAGGAAACCACTCCACTGTGAAGGACGCGCTGCACCTCCCTATTCGTCCGGGAAGAAATGTGCAGCGCGCTGGGGAAAAGCCGCCCACTCCTTCGCACCCCCCTCCCGCCCCCGGCAAGTGTGCGCCTGGAGAGTGCGGGCCAGAGCCGAGGGCAAATAAATGCTTGGAGATGCGGAGAGGCTTATTCAGGTTTATGGTCTGGAGAGGGAAGAGGGAGTGCACAGCGTTTCTGCCCACGCGGCTGCCTGAAGTTTGCAAAATCTTAGTAAGGCGGCGAGGGCAGTGAGTGCACTGCACCATATTGCCGCGCAGCGGAATGCAAGGCGCACCGCCGCGGAGTGGAGACGGCTTCTCCCTTTTGCCTCGAACCTGGGAAAAAGGGAGACCAGAGTCGGAGGCTTGGAGGGAGGCAGGCGTTTGGATAAACCCGAGTTCTTGCCCAATGTAAGAGGGACTTGGCTTTTCTGCCACTTAGCCGCGAAGGCGCTGCGGAGCCCACCACCGCCCCCGGCTCGAGACTGCGGTGGTACGCACTGAGCCTGCGCGCGGGGCTTTTCTCGCTGATGCTGCAGATACAGCGCTGAGACGCTCGGGTGCCTGCCGAGGGAGGGTTAGCGGGAAGGCCGGGTTCCCTGCCCTGGCCTCGGAGGAGGAGCCACCACCCCCGGAGTGATGCTGCTTTCACAGACTGGAAAATACTCCCCAACTCCCTGGCACACACTTATACACGCTTCCATCCGCCGCGCTTCTACGATCCCCCGTAGGGAAAGCCTGGAAATCTCTGCCGCCTCTCCCTCCTCATTCCTGTTCCTGCGCCCGCCCAAACAACCGCGCGCTATATCTGCTCCTTGACTTTATTGGTGTTTGTCTTGTTTAAATCATTCTGTCTTCTCACCCAGGCCTCGTACAGAATACCCGCACTGGACAGATATTTTTTTTTGTTTTGTTTTGTTTAACCAGTTTTACATTTTTCTTTAAGGGGAGGCCCTTAAATGCTTATAGATACGTCAGGCGTGCTGAAGACTAACCAACTCCCAGAAGCAGCCCTTTCTCTCATTTGAGATGGTAAAAATTCTCCCCCAAAACCTCCAGTCCCTCTCAATCTTGTCAACCTAGCCTGGCCCCTTCATTGACAGCCACTGAAATAAATGAGTAAATGGCTCAGTTCAGAAAACAGACCTCAGATCTGATGAGGGCGGCTGCGGTGGTCGTAACTGAAAATTGGGGAAGCCTCCTGTGAGGAAATAGTGGTACAAAGTCAAAAGGAGAGATAGGGAACTGGGGACACTTTGGTACACAAAAGTTGCCATTAAAGTTTATTTCCCTTTTATCCAGATAGGTGACGCTACACTTTGCCAGTTACTAAAGGCTGCAGGTTTCTGCTCAGAAAATAATATCGAGGTTTCCAACATGTGTTTATTCCCCAGGCGCGAGCACACACGGTCTACCCCCCATAGGCAACCACGACGACAGGAATGTCAGGCATTTAAATAAGGACAGGCATCCTTCTCTCTCCACCCCCTATCCCCCAGCAACCATCCAAAGTCTGAGCTCCCAAAAAAGGATCTTTCTCCCGCTCTCTGGAGTTTGATGTTCTCTCTTCACAACTGCAGTCCGTCTTGATTTTTCAGAACAGTGTGGTTTCTTTCTGGGCTGATGTGAGTTCCCCAAGACCCCGGTAACCAGCTCCTAACCAAGATGCTAAATCGCGAACCGCAGACGCTTTCTGGGGGAAGAAGAACGTCGTCTGAGGGGGTGAGAGAAGGAGAAACCCATCCTGACACCAGCTCCAAAAGCTCTCACGCGTGAACTGAGCATTAGTCAAGGGAAGAGGAATTTTACCAGCCCGAGGGAGGGAAAACAAGTCCCCCAGAGAAGAAGACCGCTGTACTCGCTGGGGGCGGGGGTTGGGGGTTGGGGGTTGGGGTTTGGGGCGGAACGGACTTTGGCTTAAAGAGGACTGGCTCAGATTGAGCACACTTTGAGCGGCCCCTGGAGCTGAGGCTGGGCATTCCCGAGCGCGGCGGCGGGCTGACGCTCCCTCCCGCCTCCTTACCCCAGGCCCTCCTCCCTCGCAGTCTCCCAGTGTGTAGTTTCGGCTGCTCCGCTGTTACTGCCGCCGCCGCTGCAGCAGCAGCGTCAGGGACAAGCCTGAGCCTGGAGCGAGCGAGCTCCCAGCAGCAACCACCACTTTGGGCAACTTGCGGGTTTCCTGCTCGCGGGTAGCGAACGGGAGCTTCCCACTTGCGGTTCAGTGTCTCCGAGTCGCTGCAGCCCGAGGGGCGGCGGGAGCGCCCGCACCAGACTCTCTCAGACGCGAAAAGGGACGAGACAACTGCGTAATTCACCAGCCGTGCCAGGACACTCCGAGGCCACAACCAACTGGCACTTTTTCTCCCCTTGGCAAACTGGATTTTTTTTTTTTTTTTAAGCTACTTGGCAGCTGGCTCTGACTCCACCTCCCCCTCCACCCCCGCCCCAAAGCTTTTGGCTTTTCTTCGGAAACCCAGACAGAATTGGGTATCTTTGTTAATTGCCATTGGGGACGCCCGGCCGGGCGCTTTCGCCGGCTAACGTCGCCTGTGCTCGGAGCCCGGTTTGCTCACCTTTGAACTGCAAAGGGATCAAGTTCAGTTCGAGTTCCCTGCATTGGGAGTAAAAGGAAGGAGAGAGAGCGTGCAGGAGAGCGAGTGGGAGAGGGGGAAAGGGGAAAGGAGAGGAGGGAGGAGGGAGAGGAGGGAGGAGAGAGAAAGGGAGGGAGGGAGGGGAGGGATCGAGAGAGAGAGCGGGGAGAGAGAGAGGCTGCAATCTCCTCCCAGAATCGCGCACAGCGCTGCAGATCCCAGTGCTCCGACATGCGGGCCGAATGCAGGTGAGAAAAGGCACGGACTCTGCGGCTGCGAATCCAAACTTGGGCACCGCACGGGGCGCACGGTTCAAGCCTTCGCCCCCGCGGGCGAAAGGCTGCTGCGGTTTCAGGCGGCGGCTTCGTGACTAATGACCTTGCGCAGAGTTGTTAAGAAAAAAGAGAAACCCGCACTCTCCGGGGTGAGGAGGGACTGACTCTCTGGGCGTCTCTGAAGATGGCTCGAGCTTCTCTTTGGCGCGCCGGGGGAACCCGGACGCGGCCCGTGCTGTGACGCGAGTAGTCTCCACTGCATCGTGCCCGGAGCGACGTGCCAGGGGATTTTTCATTCTCGATCTGTTGACTAGCTCCCCCGCTGCCTGAGCAGAGTCGGAGTTGAGACTGGCTTGTTGCTGGCCCCAGCGCCTGGTGCAGGAAGCGACTCACGTTTGCCTGGGCGGCCAGAGCCGGAGCGGAGCCTGGGTTTGGAGTGAGCGCCTGGAACGTGAATCGGACTCAACTCGAGTAGCAGCAGCAAAGACCAGCGGGCTGGCAGGCGGGGGAGGCTGGAGGCTCATTCCCCACCTCTTCCCAGCCCCACTGTCCGTCTGCCGGAGCGGTTCCGGCCCCTTCCGACCGAGCGGGGACTGGAATCGGGGATTCTCCGCCCGCTGCGGGGATGACTCTGGGTGGGGGGGCCGCCGAACCCGCAGCGCGCAGTGTCCCGTGAACTGTGAGTACTGCGACTGAACGGCGGCCGGCGAGCGGGCGATTAGCACCCATTGCATGAATTATGAAACAATAACTTTCGGAAGAAGCAGGAGGAAAAGAAAGAAGCATCTATCGCTGCCCTCCCATCCCCATCCCCGGCCGACTCTCCACGCCGCTTCTGCCCCCTCCCTCCCTTCCCTCCAGCTCCTTCCTTTCCGGGAGAGGGGACAGGACTGGGGGGAGGGCAGGCGGCCGGCCCCGGAGGAGGGGGCCGCCGAGGGGGCTGTGGTTAGAAGGAGCAGTAGCAGCAGCAGCAGGAGAAGATGCTGAGGATGCGGACCACGGGATGGACGCGCGGCTGGTGCTTGGGCTGCTGCCTCCTCCTGCCGCTGTCGCTCAGCCTGGCGGCAGCCAAGCAGCTCCTCCGGTACCGGCTGGCCGAGGAGGGCCCCGCCGACGTCCGTATCGGCAACGTGGCTTCGGACCTGGGCATCGTGACGGGATCGGGTGAGGTGACTTTCAGCCTGGAGTCCGGTTCCGAGTACCTGAAGATCGACAACCTCACCGGCGAGCTGAGCACGAGCGAGCGGCGCATCGACCGCGAGAAGCTGCCTCAGTGTCAGATGATCTTCGACGAGAACGAGTGCTTCCTGGACTTCGAGGTGTCGGTGATCGGGCCCTCGCAGAGCTGGGTGGACCTGTTCGAGGGTCGGGTCATCGTGCTGGACATCAACGACAACACGCCCACCTTCCCGTCGCCAGTGCTCACGCTCACGGTGGAGGAGAACCGGCCCGTGGGCACGCTCTACCTGCTGCCCACCGCCACCGACCGGGACTTCGGCCGCAACGGCATCGAGCGCTACGAGCTGCTCCAGGAACCCGGAGGCGGCGGCAGCGAGGGCCGGCGCGCCGGGGCGGCCGACAGCGCCCCCTACCCCGGGGGCGGCGGGAACGGCGCGAGCGGCGGCGGCTCCGGAGGCTCCAAGCGGCGGCCGGACGCGCCCGAGGGCGGCGGCGGCACCAACCCCGGCGGCCGCAGCAGCGTGTTCGAGCTGCAGGTGGCGGACACCCCGGACGGCGAGAAGCAGCCGCAGCTGATCGTGAAGGGGGCGCTGGACCGCGAGCAGCGCGACTCCTACGAGCTGACCCTGCGGGTGCGCGACGGCGGCGACCCTCCTCGCTCCTCGCAGGCCATCCTGAGGGTCCTCATCACTGACGTGAACGACAACAGCCCCCGCTTCGAGAAGAGCGTGTACGAGGCCGACTTGGCGGAGAACAGCGCCCCGGGGACCCCCATCCTGCAACTGCGCGCAGCCGACTTGGACGTGGGGGTCAACGGGCAGATCGAGTACGTGTTCGGGGCGGCCACGGAGTCGGTGAGGCGGCTGCTGCGGCTGGACGAGACGTCTGGCTGGCTCAGCGTCCTGCACCGCATCGACCGCGAGGAGGTGAACCAGCTGCGCTTCACGGTCATGGCCCGCGACCGCGGGCAGCCCCCTAAGACTGACAAGGCCACCGTGGTCCTCAACATCAAGGACGAGAACGACAACGTGCCGTCCATTGAAATCCGCAAGATCGGGCGCATCCCTCTCAAGGACGGGGTGGCCAACGTGGCCGAGGACGTGCTGGTCGACACCCCCATAGCACTGGTGCAGGTGTCCGACCGAGACCAAGGCGAGAACGGAGTGGTCACCTGCACCGTGGTGGGCGACGTGCCCTTCCAGCTCAAGCCGGCCAGCGACACCGAGGGTGACCAGAACAAGAAGAAGTACTTCCTGCACACTTCGACCCCTCTGGACTATGAGACCACCCGGGAGTTCAACGTGGTCATCGTGGCGGTGGACTCAGGCAGCCCCAGCCTCTCCAGCAACAACTCCCTGATCGTCAAAGTGGGAGACACCAACGACAACCCGCCCGTGTTCGACCAGTCGGTGGTGGAGGTTTACTTCCCTGAAAACAACATCCCGGGCGAGAGAGTGGCCACGGTGCTGGCGACAGACGCCGACAGCGGAAAGAACGCCGAGATCGCCTACTCGCTGGACTCCTCTGTGATGGGGATCTTTGCCATTGATTCCGATTCTGGGGACATCCTGGTCAATACGGTGCTGGACCGCGAGCAGACTGACAGGTATGAGTTTAAAGTTAACGCCAAAGACAAAGGCATCCCCGTGCTGCAGGGCAGCACCACGGTGATTGTGCAGGTGGCTGATAAGAATGACAATGACCCTAAGTTTATGCAGGACGTCTTCACCTTTTATGTGAAAGAAAACTTGCAGCCCAACAGCCCTGTGGGGATGGTCACCGTGATGGATGCTGACAAGGGGCGGAATGCAGAGATGAGCCTGTATATAGAGGAGAACAATAACATTTTTTCTATTGAAAATGACACGGGGACCATTTACTCCACAATGTCTTTTGACCGGGAACATCAGACCACATACACTTTCAGAGTCAAGGCTGTGGACGGGGGAGATCCTCCCAGATCTGCCACAGCTACAGTCTCGCTTTTTGTGATGGATGAAAATGACAATGCTCCCACAGTTACCCTTCCCAGAAACATTTCCTACACTTTACTGCCACCTTCAAGTAATGTCAGGACAGTAGTAGCTACAGTGTTGGCAACAGACAGTGATGATGGCATCAATGCAGACCTGAACTACAGCATTGTGGGAGGGAATCCCTTCAAGCTGTTTGAGATTGATCCCACTAGTGGTGTGGTTTCCTTAGTGGGAAAACTCACCCAAAAGCATTATGGCTTGCACAGGTTGGTGGTGCAAGTGAATGACAGTGGGCAGCCTTCCCAGTCCACCACGACTCTGGTGCATGTGTTTGTCAATGAAAGTGTTTCTAATGCAACTGTGATTGACTCCCAGATAGCTAGAAGTTTGCACACTCCACTCACCCAGGATATAGCTGGTGACCCAAGCTATGAAATTAGCAAACAGAGACTCAGTATTGTCATTGGCGTGGTTGCTGGCATTATGACAGTGATTCTAATCATCTTAATTGTAGTGATGGCAAGGTACTGCAGGTCCAAAAATAAAAATGGCTATGAAGCCGGCAAAAAAGATCACGAAGACTTTTTTACACCGCAACAGCATGACAAATCTAAAAAGCCTAAAAAGGACAAGAAAAACAAAAAATCTAAGCAGCCTCTCTACAGCAGCATTGTCACTGTAGAGGCTTCTAAACCAAATGGACAGAGGTATGATAGTGTCAATGAGAAGCTGTCAGACAGCCCAAGCATGGGGCGATACAGATCTGTTAATGGTGGGCCTGGCAGTCCCGACCTGGCAAGGCATTACAAATCGAGTTCCCCATTGCCTACTGTCCAGCTTCATCCCCAGTCACCAACTGCAGGAAAAAAACACCAGGCGGTACAAGATCTACCACCAGCCAACACATTTGTGGGAGCAGGAGACAACATTTCAATTGGATCAGATCACTGCTCTGAGTACAGCTGTCAAACTAATAACAAGTACAGCAAACAGGTAAGATGCATCCCAAATGTATTTAAATATCCAAGGGAGGGCTAGTAACTCTGAGTCAGATTATCTTCGGTAAAGTTTTGTCTTCTGGTTTTTAAAGTTAGTATTAAAATTGTAACAGGAGGAACTTAATGTTAATTTATGCACCATTAATTTAGCAAAGGCCATCCACAAGAGGTGTACCACTGTATTTTGCAAGTTTAGACTTAAGGTTCGGTAAACTACTGAAGGAACTGCTCAAAGTAGGCAGTGTTTTGCACGTCTCTTTGCCCTCAACATCTCTAATTCGTGCTACTTTTTGTTCCCAGAATAAATCTGTATGTGTTGTTTAGATGGTTAGTTTTCACCTGAAATTATTTTCTTTTGCGGCAACTAAGTGGATAATTGCATCCAGAACAAAAGTTTCTAAAGTTACTACTGGTGTCTATGCAAATTGAATACCATAAAAGTTTTAGCTATGTTATTTACAATGCAGGATTTTACAGATAAGCAGATGCTGATTCATGCAAATGTAGTACTAAGTCTGAGATATTGAAATACTACTTTGATGAAAACGCTGGTTTAAAAATATTTACTGATATGCAAATGTCATGTAGAACTCTCAATATTTTATATCTATTACAATTGATATCTATAACAATTAGTGATCTATAATGATATGCAA